GGCTACAAGGTGAGCTCAAGGCCAGCCTGAACTGCACAGCAAGACCCTGTCTCAAAAAAAGACCAAAAAAAAAAAAAAAAGAAATCAGCCAATAACAAATGCTGGCAAGGCTTTGGAGAAATAGGAACACTTCTCCACTGCTGGTGGGAATGCAGACTGGTGAAACCACTGTGGAAATCAGTTTGGAGATTCCTCAGAACGGGACTAGAGGTCCCATTCAACTCAGCTATTCCCCTTCTGGGTATTTTCCCAGAAGATCTAAAAACATCTTATCACCGCGATATATGTGCACCTATGTTCATAGCAGCACAGTTTGAAACTGCTAAATTGTGGAAGCAACCCAAATGTCCAGCCACCAAGGATTGGATAAGACAATTGTGGTACTTTTATATAATGGAGTATTACTCAGCTATAATGAAAGATAAACTCAAGGCTTTTATAGGTAAATGGTCACAACTAGAGACCATACTCATAAATGAGATAAATCAGACCTGCATGTGCATTGTCTCACTAGTGTAAAACCTGAAAGAGTTAATATAAACTCGGAGGTATGATAGACGTTGTGAAATGACAGGAAAACGCTCAAGGGTAAAGGACAACTGGGATGTGGGAAAGAGAAGGGAAAGAAGGAGAAATTCTGTATGTATGTATATACAGGATAGTTAACATAGTTGATCTACTGTCTTCTATTTCTTTGCTGAAAGAAACTGTCAATGAGTCCTTGATCAATATTTCATGTCTCTGTTTTCATAAGAAACCACTTTGAAGATATCAATATGTAATACAACAAGCATTGTTAATTTCCTACCACTTTGTTTGTAACTCTGTATTGTCTGTACTGTTCTTTTGCTATTTGGTAAAAGGTTGCCTGTCTGTTAATGTTTTCCTCCTTTTATTTTTAAAATAAAAAAAAAGGCTGTGTGGTGAAGAAGTGGACATTCAGTTCCGTGGCTGCTGAAGCCTCCTAGACTCAAACTGCAAAGCCAGAATTCCAGCCTAAAATGGTATGCTGTAGAAATTAAGCAGATAAAGAAAGATGATAAACCAAAGTCATCCAAAAATGGAATTAAAATCATGTAATTTGCCAAGATATCTTCTCTAGTGTTGTGAGAGTATATAAAATTGTCCCTTGCAAGAGAATTCTGAAATCTTTTCACATCCTTGGACGCTGTCCACTCCTGTTTTCACAATAACCTTGGCTGACGTCACAGCTAGCTCTGTTAGGAGTCAAGAAAGTCTGAAGGGAAGGAGGCCTAAAATGCCTTCTGTCAGATGCAAGCAGTTATACCCAAACATGGGCCCTAAAACGGAATAAGCAAACTGAAGAGAACAAAAGGGATAAATCTTTTTGGATTTCTTTTTTGCTTTAATCCACTACCCTCAAAACAAAAGAAACTGGGCCACTGGACCAAGAGACAGTAACGGAAAACTGGGCAGTTTTACTACATATTCTAAATCAGATGTTGACATTACATCATTAATTAAACTGAATTAATGTGAATTCTGTATTGGTCACATACTATTAGTAAAAATAATCTCAAAATTAATTAACTTGATTTGGGGACTATATGGACCACTGAGCTGCTCTACTTAAAAAGTTGAAAGCTCCCTATTTCTCGAGGGAACTTTCCTGTGTGCTACCCTCTCACTTCAGGCTTACCGCACCCGTTGGCTACATCCTGGAATGGCAAATTTGCACTATTTTCATTAATATGGTTCGTATATAAGAACACCACCTCCTCTCGTTTATGCTGATTCCTCTTTCGGCAGGAACAGTGATGGGTCTACCCCAGTTCTGTCTGGAGCCAATCTTGACCAACCACCACGTGCAGTGACTGGTGTGGTGTGCAAGGACAGACTGAGTGGTCCACAGGCACGAACACTGCAAGCCTGGGCCCGTCGGCAGCACTCTGCCTCCTGAGAGCAGAGGAGACAAGCCCGTGCTAATCAGCTACGGCATGACTGTGAGTCCTGTTTGTTACCACACACTTCACTTGAATGCACACGACAGGCAGTAAGAATAGAGTCGAAACCTCCCTGCAAGATAGAGCTGGAATCCATGTCACCCATTTCCGTTTAAGCTTCTTGTGCGTGACTCAAGAACAGTGTTCTTGCCACGTCACATGGAAATGTACTGAAAGGATTTTACGATAGTCAGAGTTCAGAAGTGGATCAACCTGCTTCTCTGAGATGGGTCACAACTTGGACGCTATTAGTAAAAGGCAGATTGCTGCACGCTAAAGGGAAACCAGAGTATCTCGGGTGCCATTAGAGAAACGATGGAACAGGTACTGTACCTGCGTCCAGGAGCAGCTTGACGATCTCAAAGTTGGAGTGGGACACGCTGTAGTGGAGGGCCGTGTTCCCATTGCCATCGGCCATGTTGATGACATAGTGGAGCACATCCGGGGAGACGGCCTCAAACGCAGCTATGTAGTCCCCCACCATGGCGGGCACGGCGGACTTCTGACTGGACACGCGGAACCACTCATGCTGGAGGGTGTTCAGACAGAACCTCTGCCAACACACGGAGCCCACATTAGTTCTTCTATTTATAGGCCTTTCTCAGGCAGCTGAAAGCCCAAGCAACCATGCCATTTATAGTCAAAGTGTGTGCAGTAAGAATCTGTTCTTTAAAATAGTTAATAAAACCCAGAGCTCCAAGAACAGCCCTGAACTCCAGGCTGAAACAGTCCTCACTTTAAGCTGCATACAGCAAGTATTCTGGTTTCTATAAAGGAGGTCAAAGGACTCTGTGTGAGAGCAGTGGGTCTGGACCAGAACCCCCAGGCTCCAATTTGAGTTCTGCTCCTTATAAACTGTTGACCCTGGGGAAGTTACTTATTGTGTAAGTCAGTTTCCTTGTCTGAAAAATGGGGAAAATACTTTCTCTTTACAGTGTTTGTGATGAAGATAAAATACGTAGGCTTGATTTGACCTCTGAGCTATTACTGCTATGGAGTTGGACTGGCCTTGCAAATGCTGTTCACAGAAATCAAACAGGAATTAACCAGCCACCCTTAATTATGCAGCCTCCTTCCTAGTTAAGACAACTCCAAGTCTTCCCACTCCTCCGCAGCACTAATACCCTAACATGTAGCCAACCAACTCTGACTGATCTCAAATGCAAATGAAAGAACTCTTGAGGAAATTCTGTTTCTCACTGGGATCATCTAGCCCCACTCCACCTTGCTTAGGCTGTGGACACCTGAATATGGGTTTAGCTTCGTGGATGATTAAAGTCCAACTTGGGACAAATGCAGTTCATTGCAGGTTGCGCCACAGCCAGGGCCAATGCTATAGAGGACAATGATACATACAGCTTAGTATTATGTGTGATAATGTGTGCTTTATTTATTCTTTAAAAATTCTTATTATTTAACAATATATCAGGGCTGAGGATATAGCTCAGTGGCGTAAGCACCTGCCTGGCAAGTGCAAGGTCATGAGTTCGATTCCTGGTACCAAAAAAACCAAAACAACAACAACAACAAAAACAATGTATCAAAGAGAGACAGAAAGTCTGCATTGTAAGCATCAGTCCCTGGGAAATGTTCTTTGTACTGACAAGGCAGGGTTATAGAGTGTCCATGTCTTTTCCTGCTACTGAAAATTCAGTTTTAACCCATTCACATTGTGAGTCACTCAAAAAGGGTCTTGGCCAAAGAATTAATATAATTTTCCATCTTGTTTACTCAGTGTCTTACACAGCCAGATTTCTATTGCTCTGGACTTGTCGCACAGAAAAAAAGTGAAATTGTATCTTCTGGCATTCCTAACTCTGTTATTACCAAGTACTCAGGGTCCTGAAAGGATTATCTGATCCTGATACTGTGATCACTCACATGACCAGTACTGTGCACAGTGTAATACCTGAAATACTTTTGCACTGAATGAAGATTCAATCAACAAAAAATGTAGGGGTCACAGAGTATGTGACACCACACTCAAGGAATTCAGGTGACACAGAAATATAAAGTCCACATAGACCATACGACCCTATATTGTGAGAAGACAAAGAAAAAATTTATATTACTATAAAATCTGGGGTCCTAAAGCATCTGGTTCAAATTGAGGTGCAGCCTAGTGTTGACACTAAAGTGACATTTCATAGTTTTACTATCTGTGACCAAGTGGAGCCAGGCAGTTAGTTTGTACTGCTGAATTTCAACATGTAGTCCTAGGTGCAAGGGGTGTTGCTCAGGGTAGAACACTTGCCTAATATGCATGAGGCCTGCCTTCCGTCCTCAGCACCACTTAAAAAACAGACCAAAAAAACTTTAACGTATGCAGCTCTGTCACCCACTGCCCAGGGATTTCTGCCTTCTGTGAAGGTCGTTGGCATGCACTAAGTGACGCATGCCCACGTACTAACTGAACCTTAACACTCAGCTGGCTCTGAGGAATCTCTTTCTAAAGTAACATCAACAAATATGAAAAGACATCTTAAAATTTAAAAATTATGCCACATGACAGGGTTATATCCCTTAATTGGAAGACCAAAAAATTGAAGGGAAACGAGCTCAAGACAGATTCTAATTCCAGCACTGTTAGTCTAATCTAGTAGCGGCTGCTTAGAAAGACAAGGACTTGGCCCTAGGAAAGGGGCCGGACTGCGCACCACACGGGCAGGCGCACTGGGGTGCTTTTTTCTACGCCTGTGCCAGCAATCACCAGTTTTAACAGCACGTTGCAGGAGCCAGAGCCTTCCAAAGAGGATTTTCATACAAGAGGAAAACTGCCTTTCCAGGATTAGATATTCCCTAGGTCCCTTCTAGTCCTAACATTTTAATTTTGTAACTGTATAATCATGAGAATCTTATAATCAACGTTTTCGCTAGCCGCAGACTTGGCTATTTAGTATAAAACAACGCAGTAAGTCTGATATGCAAAGATTCAAATGTACATGATTATCTAAACATGAGAAGCCATATTTTCTCAGTGCAGGAAGACGAAGCTGTCAACTAGTGGGTGCATCTGGTCTAGAAAGAAGCCACGTAAAAAAAACTCTGCATGAAAGAGTGACACACTTGGCCAGGGTATCAGATTAACCATGACTATAGTAATCTTTGTGTCCTAGCTTATGCCGTTCATGATCACTAAGAGAACCACAAATTTATTTTGTGGGGGGTGTGTGTTGAGAGAGGGTCTCACTACGTAGTTGAGACAGGTTCTCGCTATGTAGTTCAGGCTGGCTTTGAACTTCCTATGTAGTCCAAGCTGGCCTTGAACTGGTGACAATCCTCCTGCCTCAGCCTCCTGAGTGCTGGGATTATAGATAGGCCTGCACCACCATGCCCACAACCATAAACCCTTTGTTGTTCGCTTCTGAATCTCTCAAACTGAAATGACAAGTGCAGTTATTTTTCTATTTAAAAACAGTAACTATCTACATTCCACATCAGAATATAACATGCAAAGGAATGCTGACCTCAGCCCACATGTTTCTTTTAAAAAACTACCCTAACTTAAAAAAAATTCTGGGATGCTGCTCCTTGGATCTGAAGGTTCTGTGAACATAAGTAGAACTCATAGAAAGATAATTGCCTGCAATTAGCTGTCCCTTCCATCTGCAAATATGTGCTTCACAGATGTCTACAAAAGCACTGGGTGGCTGAATGCTATGCAGAGTTAGGCTCAGGAAACACTGGGTGTGCTCTGGGGAGCCAGGCGGCACGAAGAGCGCACCACCGCTCCTGCAGAGCAGTCTTGGAGGGAAGCGTGCACATACCAGCAGCTCAGGGCAAGTGAGCAATGCCCTTGACAGTGGTGCCACCTGGGCACTCCGTACAGTCCAGTGTCTATATGCAAACTCACCATATCTTTGCTGGTCAAAGCTTTGGGATCATTAATATTACTTTTCAGTAGGTTGCATGCAGACAACATCTTTTCACTTAATTCATACCTAAAAAAGAGAAACAAGAGAGCTCAAGACTGACCACAGAAGGGAAATCATTTTTCTCTTCAGCCCTTAACTCTTTAAAAGACAAGGGCTCTGAACTAGTCTAGGCATACTATGACGGATGGCGGTGTCTCTCTGTGTCCATGATTAACGTCACTCTATAAAGCCAATACCTCTGACCAGAGCGCAAGGTCTCTTCTTGAGGGTGGCTTCCGGCTATGTCAGTTTTATGACATTATACAACAATGTCGAGATTTAAAAAAAAATACCTTTAACATTTAAGAGGCTGAAGAGATCTAAATTCCTGCATATCTATTATGCTCACCAGTACTGAAGAAGTATTTGTTCAACTATATGAAAAATTAAAAATCAGGTGGCATATGGGAAATAAGTTACACTTCAGTGAACCTGTTTTTAAAAACCAGATGACATTCCAAACCATTTGAAACACTTGGAAATATATACTAGAAATACTTACCTTATGTTACTGTAATTAACTTCCATTTGCTAAATTAAATAGTTTCCTGTCCCATTTGTACCTTCCATAGTGAAAACATACTGAAGTTTCCATTTTTTGTTTCCTCCTTTTTTATGAGCATCAAATCCATTTTTGCTAATGGTCTTCAAAAAGTACTTCATTTTTAGGTACATGTGTTAGCTAACCAGAGAGTTTGGTATTTTATTTCAACTGCTACTTATGACATTCCCAAACCCACTGTGCTCACTGAAGAGCAATCAGAGACCTATGACGGATACACATCTTTACAGTAAATGTGCAAATGTGATCTTTGGTCAAGGCGAAATATCTGTTTCTCATGCATACTGTGTTAACAGTGCTGACACATACATCAAGTATTGTATGGCTGGATAAATGACTGAAGGTAAAATCTGAAATCTTAAAAAAGTGCTAGTTGCCAAAAACTTTAAATATGTCTTTAAAAATAAGGTAAAGCATTCAAACAATGGAAGCTGAAGTGGATGATGGTTCCACATATAAAATGAGGTCACAGAAGTTCTTGAAGTGTCAGAAAAGAAAGGAGGGCATGAAGCCTTTGCTACTCTAACAGATCCAGGAGTTACTATACTCTGCACTTGTATTAAAAATCAGGTGGCATATGGGAAATAAGTTACATTTCAATGAACCTGTTTTTAAAAAACCAGATGACATTCCAAACCATTTGAAATAGTGCTGTGACCAGGAGTACACACCTCTGAGGTACACAGAAGACCACCCCCACAAATATACTTGTACTTGCAAAATTTCTGAACTGGCCAATTCTACTGACAAATTACTAAATGGGAGGGTCAGGGGAGGGAAGGGGAATGTACCACACCTCTCTCTGATTTCCACCTTCTCAGGTTCACATTCTTGAACCTGCATTTCATGGTCCACCCTGGCAGCCTTGAAACCTTCCATATTAACTGCATGATGCCCTTCCGCCATTCCCCGAGTGTCTTCATCCTCCTCTTCCTCCTCCTCTTCTGCAGGAGGATACTCAATGACATCACACTCGTCATCTGACTCGGAAGAAGAGCTTTCATCTGAGCTGGAATCATCACTGGAAGTTGTTTCATACCTAGGTGGCAATTGGGATTTCAGGAGATGCAAGGTGTGCCCAGAAAGACCCAGCGACCGAAATTTCTGTGAAGGGAAGGCTGCTGACTAGACTCCAGAAATTTCACCAGTGGTTTTAGACCCTGTGCTTAGAAGTTTGATATAAGGTCTATGTGAATACCTGGTGGTTTTTTAAAATGGGTTCTGACTTAAAAGGGACAGCTTGGGTTGCCAAGTGGTATCATACACCACTTGTTAAAAAAAAAAAACAACATGGCTCTTCTACCTGGTATCAATCAGCTGGAAACACCACATGTGCTGTTGATCATTTTAAATCTTTTTCCACTCTTGCTATTTTGCCCCATTCATTCTCCCATCTCCCAAAGTCAAGGCGAAATAAGTAACCAATGTAAGTAACCAATACCTCCTCCAATGCATGACTTCCAAAATCTCCTGAGGCACACCACCCCATGAAATTTTTTAAGCTTTGGAAAACAGGCCCCATCATGATAAGCCTTGTAAGCTCTACTATAAATGTTATTTCAACCAACTCTGCACTGCCGCTTTCCTGTGGTTTAATCAACTAATTGCTTTGATTTGACTGTAGGAGGATAAATGGGCTTAAGTGTTTACATGAGTTAACTGGAAAAGAAGGAACAAATGACTAATAAGCATTCTATTTAGAAAGAAAAGAAGCACCAGCATGTCTGGATTACTCTTTGGGTTGAAAGCCTACAGTTTTTCCCATGAACACTGGGGGCTAAGCAACAGGCAACCCATGCTGAGGACGTTGCTGAGGAGGTGGATGACAGCCAGTGGACCATGGAGTGAAGTTGTCTTTCTCTTCCTGCATTATAACAGGCAAATAAAAGCTGTCCAACACAGTGTAGCAACTGCTGCCCGCTGTTTTTTATTGAAGACTATTTTTTTAAGGACAGAGATGAGGAGATGTCAATAGCTCAGCTTCATCAGGAATCCTCAACAAATGGCATATCCTTAAAGACAGCAAGAGGAGGGAAGAAAAGCTCAAATGCACCTTTCTGATGAGGGAATCTTGTCATCAAAATGTGGCAGCATCCCAGACCAGGCACCTTGACCTGTGACTTAAGTAGGCAGGAGATAAAGGAGACAGATACGGAGATCTAGTGCTACCATCTTTCCTTACCCTCCATTAATGCCAACAAACTGAAGGTTCTTTTTTGCACCATTTGAATCTTTATTGCCATCTCTCTTCTTCATGATGGACTTTAGCGTATTTTCATTGTTTGCACAAACTGTGAAAAGATGCATCAAGATGATCAAAATTAACATAACTCATACAAGTTAGGTGAACAGGTAATCTCTTTTCCCTTATGTATTTGGCTGTAGGCTTGGCATGCATACATGACAAATTTGCACAAATGCATTGGGAAAGTGTGTGCATGCAAGAGAATAAAGTCCTATTAATAACATTCTTTAGGGCCGGGGATATAGCTCAGCAGTGCAAGCATCTGCCTGGCAAGTGCAAGGTCCTGACTTTGATTCCCAGTACCAAGAACAAAAAACACCCCCAAAACAACAACAGAAAACATTCTTTAAATGGGGAAAAATGTCTCAGTACTTCCATACATCACAATACCAGTGACACCTGGCATCTTATCAGACTTTACTGTTCAAAGTGATGTGCCTCGTTTCGTTACTTTTTTTTTTTTTTTGTCTTTTTGAGACAGAGTCTCGCTATGCAGTTCAGGCTGGCCCTGAGCTCACTTTGTAGCCCAGGCTGGTCTCGAACTTGCAACGATCCTTCTGCCTCAGCCTCCCGAGTGCTGGGATTACAGGCATGCGCCACCACGCCCGGCTCAATGTGTCTCATTTCTTCAGCTGAAATAACCTGGAAAAATTTTCTGCCTGCCAGAATGTGAAAAAGGTGAAATGCTGTTTATACTATTTCGTAATTGGCAATACCAGATACATTTTCTTAAAATTAAGCTTTCTTTGACAATCTCAAAGATATTCTAGGCCTTTCTACAGAACAACTACCTAATTCTTTCTCCAGGTCAGCTTATAAAGCACACTATTGGGGGCTGGGAATTTAGCTCAGTGGCAAAGCGCCTGCCTGGCAAGCGCAAGGTCGCGAGTTCGATTCCTGGTACCGGAAGAAAAACATTAAAAAAAAAGTAAAGCACACTGTCATTTAACTGAATGCCAGCAATGGGACCCAGAAAGAATCCGATACCAAGGACTGTGAGACCTACCGTAGAGGCCGGAAGCGATCTGGTCATCCGTCAGATTTACTGAGGGCAGGGTACTCTCCTGCGAGGGGAAGGTCTCCCGGCTGCTCGCAGGCGTCTCTTCTGCAGTGCCCACCTCACGCTCTGGCCGAGACGTCTGAGTGCTTGGCAACCCTCCTGACTGAAGGCCTCCACACTTACAGGTACATTCCAAATTATTTCCTGGCCAGAAAGAGCGGGGTATAGGGTATGTGGTACCAAGTAAGGACAAAATAGACTGAAAAACAGTTTCTGTTTAAAAAAAAAAATCCTGCAACTCATGCTTTTCCCAAGAGCTTCCTTCCTCAGTGAGTGGCACTACCACGTAAGCCACCTAATCCCCACCCTCCAAGGCGACCTCTGACTCCCAACTTTTCCCTCATTATCCCATCTGCCAAGGCTTGTCATTCTAGCTCCACGGCGTCACTTCATCTCTGTGTTCCTGCTGTTCTCCTCACACTGGCCCTGGGTGACGGGAGTCACATCCGTCCCGGTGCCCCTCTCTTCCTGCTGCTCCCCTCTGGCACACTGGTGCAGAGGAATGCTCCCGCCTAGCCCTAACGCTATCATCCCTGCAGCTAGAACAAAAGCTGGCCCTGCCTAGAAAGCACTCTGACCCTGGGCCGCCTGGGAAACTTGGTCCACGCTGCTTAGCCAGATACTCTAGGCCATCTGTAATGTGGCAGCAGCTCTGCCCTGCAACTTCATTCCCACCTCGCCTGGGGTCCCGTCTGCACAGGGACTGCACCCTGATGGAGGGAACCACTCTGTCTGGAGGGGAGGGGCTCTCACTTCCTGACCCTGGCCTTGCCTTCCCTCTTCACAGAATGAATGCCCTTCCTCCCATCTCCACACGGCCCACCCCCCATCTCGCCCTCTTTGGGGCCTTCCCTCACCCCCTCACTGCACACAACTTTCCTTGCTCCGTTCGCTCACAGCCCACCTTGTCCCACTGAGATCTGTGGTACAAGGCACAGGACGATTTTTGAGACTATGTCAGATTCCCTTGCAGTCTACACAAAACCTAATAAATGTACCTAGAAGAGTTATTTGGAAGACTAGTTAAATGAGTTATGATGATTTAATCCCCCCCTTATTTGCCACTTTTTCTAAAATGAATATGGATGGTGTTCAAAATCACTCTTAAAAATATTGCTTTGACTTAGCAATTTGATTTCTAGTACTTCTATCTTAAAGATACACACAGAGATATAGAAGGAGGGTCACTGTTTTCACATTTGAAACACTGAAGAGAAGCAGGCATCACAGTCTGCCCCTAAGGAACTAGCAAGTGCTGGGATGTCAGGCAAAGGAATTGTCTGTAGCCACTGAACAGGTTGCTGTGGGAAGACATTTGCTAACATACAGTAGCGAGCATAGCCTGCTTAAAAGTGGGATATAAAATAGTATGGGGCAACCATCAGTAAACAGTTATATGTATACCTATTTTTAAAAACCTGGGCAGATATGTAAGAAAAAACATACTTTTAAAATTTTTCTTGTTTTGGAAATGCTGGGGATGGAACCTAGAGCACAGAGCAGGCTTAGGCAAGTGCTCTACCACCAAGGGATATTGTTTTATAGCTGCTTTTTTAAGGCCAAAGAATTATATAGTCTGTTACAAATTTTCTTTGTATCTGTTGTTTTCTAAATGATACCTAATAAATATAAGGTATTAACAAAAGAACATTTAAATCTACTTGCAATACTGTCACTGGATAAGAATTTGATCAGTTTTCTCTTTTATTTTTTTTCTTGTTTTTTTCTGGTACCAGGAATCAAACTCACGACCTCGCGCTTGCCAGGCAGGCGCTGTGCCACTGAGCTAAATTCCCAGCCCTAGTTTTCTCTTTTAAAAATAAAGCTTTGGCCGAGTGTGGTGGCGCACACCTGTAATCCCAGCACTTGAGGCAGGAGGATCGTTGCGAGTTCGAGGCCAGCCTGGGCTACAAAGTGAGCTCAAGGCCAGCCTGAACTGCATAGTGAGACCCTGACTCAAAGACTAAATAAATAAATAAATAAATAAAGCTTTAAATCTATTACATGCTTAGAAGAAAAAGAAGTTAATCACTGTATTCTGAGGAAATGTAAAGAAAGATAAATTGTGCGAAACTCTAAAGCTACATTCTATTGTTCATAATCACATGGAGTGTATCAAGTACAGATGAGCAGGTAGCTTGCTGCCAGGAAGTCACTGTCTTGGATGGGGCTCAGGGATGGGCATTTCTGGCACCACCCTCTAAGAGTTTTTCATGCAGGTGACCCACTGTGAACGCTTGTAGTTTTAAGTAATGGCAGAATAATTTTACAAAGGAGGCGGGGCAGACAAAATATTCAAGATGAGGCAGTATAGAGAGATCATTCAAAATTCATTTTTGTATTTCTAGTTATGAGTTCCGAAGATCACTGAGATTTGGTAATGTGCCTGAGGCCATGGAGCTGGCCCAGAACTCACTTCCCTAATTCTATGAATAGCGCTCCCTCCTCTAGCCCTGCAGGCCCTGGCTATGTGCCTGTGCACGTATGATTCCTTCGCACACCCAGCGGCCTCCACGTACACATGCAGTACAGCACACCACCCTCCAAACAACTGCTGAGGCCCCCAAGAAGTTGCACCGCTCAACTCCTCCAACGTGCTGCTTTGTGCGGGAGGTCTCGTATCTTCATTCCTCCCAACTCTTTCCTTACTAGCTGCTGAACAGGCCTGGGATTCCAGCTCCCTTCACAAGGTCTACCCATGTTCTTTGCAGGGACTGGCCCAAATCCTACTTCCTCTGTAGTCCCTTTTTTTTTTTAGGCTACTACTCCAGAGATCTTTTTTTTCCCTCGTTGCCATGTAGCACTTCTGTCCAGGCTAAAAAAATATGCCCTGCCTGTTTTCTCTTCTCCAGAAGAAGGTAAGCACCCTTGGCTGTGGTCTTATTTGGTGTCCCCTCCATACTCACAGTAGTGCTGGGTAATGAAAGGCCTTTCATAAGTGCCATGTGACTCACCTGAAAGTCAGAGACTCTGTGGAGGGCAAAAGGTAAGGCTAGCGCTTCTTTGTCCAGTCTGAGGAAAACTCCCCCTCTACTGCCAGAAAATCTTTTCTCCGGATGATGTTCAAACTCCAGCTGGGACCAACCGGCCCAGACACAATTTGAGCTCAACAAGAACCAGTCTGCTGTTGTAGGCACACAGAGGACTGCACCTGCACCTGCATCTGACCAGGGACTGCCATGTCCAAGCAAAACAAAGGACATGTGTGGCCAGGACAGACAAAATAAAGCAGCCACCAAACTAAATGAAATGGTCTCAACCTGGCTGCCTTTAGAATCACACGAATTGAGGGTGGGGGATTAAAAACAATACAGTGAGCTATCTATAGGCGGCCGGACATCAGTATATTTTCACCCTATTCTCCTCCCTGGCGATTCTGCTGTGCAGCCAGATTGAGAACCACTGAATCAAATTAAGCGAAATAAAACTCGACTGCTGAAAATAAAGATCATAGACTCCCCTATGGTCTCAAGTCATAAACTCGGACCTTGTGCGTTCTTAGGAATTACTGCTGGTATAATTAATAGCCCTGGGTCACTGGTGGTACAAGTCCATGGGAGCAGTAAATGGTACCCCCAAACGACAGCCTCAGAACAACTGGACTGATTACAAGCTCCTGCAGAATTCTGGCCCTCTGGCTAGACCTCAAGACTCTCACTGGTGGCAACTGTGGGCAGGAGAGTGGGCAACTGGGAAAAACCTTCTGTCACGAGCATACGGACCGGGGTCATGAATGTCAGTAAAGCACGAGACCCATTTTACAACTGGACAGATTAGTGATGGCTAAAAGACAGCAAGTGACAGAAACCTCAGCATTCTGGAAAACGAAAAGCATTAAGCTTTGGATATAGAGGTAATCATAGCAGCCAGGGCAAACTACAGTGAAAGGAAATTAAAACGAAAGTTTTATTTTGTAATGTCCTGAACTTAAAGAATGTTAGATGCAAACTAACAACAAAAACAAAAAAAATTCAATGAAAACCAGAGCTGCAAGAGTTAAATAAAGAATCCTCCCTGATGTTCTCCATCTAGAATGGGTATCCGCTGATGGGGTTACAAGCACTAGGTTTCTAATTTATTAGAAAATTGGCTTTTAAAAATATGTTAAAATGCATTTGAAAGGTTGGTCTGTTCTGCAACAGATGTCAACTGTTCCGCAATGCTAATCCACATTTCTGTTTATAATGCCAAATGCCTTCTGAAAAACAGCTCTGGACAGTGTAGCCAGTGAATTAAAAGTGGCGTGTGCCCCAATTTTCAATGGAGCATTCTGATTTGATTTTTAAACCACATCTAACTTACTTTTCAAGGATAGGTAGGGCCAGGAATGTGGCTCAGCAGCACAGTGCCTGCCTGGCCAGCGTGAGGCCCCGAGTTCAATTCCTGGTACCAAAAAGAAAAAAAAATAGGTAGGCCCAGCAGGGTGTGGTAGCACATGCCTTTAATCCTAGCACTCAGGAGGGTGAGGCAGGATTGCCACGAGTGTGAGGCCACACAGAGTTCAAGACCAGCCTGGACTACATAGACCCTGTCTCAAGTAAAAAAAAAAAGAAGGACTGAAATTTCTGATTCATTATGAATTATGGTCATTCAATGTATTTTCCCAACACATAACCCAGAATTTAAGGAAATCTCAAATAGTACTTTAGTTTTTTCATAAAGAAAAAGGACTTCAGCATGAATTCACCCCTTTAGCCCAGCTATTAGACAGCAGACATTGGAGACCCTGTGTGTTACTTTGGAGGGGAAAAGATGTAGTACTGACAGAAGGACAAACCCTCTCTGCCTCTAGGCTTCCTCTCAGAGCCTGCCTGAAGCCTCAGACGTGAGGTCACCCACACAAGTAGCCAACTCAAACTGGAGATGGAAAACTTAAAAGGTCAGAGCTGTACCTTCAGGGCCATTTTGATATTTTCTTGGGAATGTACTGAACAGCTACCATGAATGTATTTCAAAGTGGACGCTTGCTTAGAAATTAAAATGCTAGAGTGGATTAAGAACCAGATTCTCCCTCAACCCCACCCCACCCACATTTAATTATATACCAATCCCAAGATCTGACCCACAAATCCCAAGCTGACAGGCTGCATTAATTAAAGCTGGGGTTAAAATATGCTTCTCCTGATTCAGCTAAGGTCCTCCTGTCTTCCCCTGACCTCAGCTACCTTGACTACAGCTGCACCCTGACCACTTTCTAACTCCATAGCATTTTGAACCTCACATATGCTGGTACTGCCACAGATGTGTGTGTGTCCTGACTTCCAACTGGATGGCAAGTTCTTTAACAGACACCCACCCTTCTATCTCCCTGTTGCAGCAACATATTCTGCATATAGGTGACACTTAATGCATAGCTATCAATTGAGATGACAGAGAAGCGGACAGTGCAGACCTTCAACATCTTTACTGAAGTATGAATGGCTTGCTGCTCAGAAAAAATAAATAGCCGTGGCTGTCGTCCAGTATCAATCAGTACATTTGTCATGATCTCAAAGCTATCTCAGTTCTTCAAGATTACTAATCTCCATGCTCCAGCCTGAAACGAACTGTACACCTTAGGATTCATTCAGAGTAAAAGTATAAAAGTTAACCTGAATTTTTTACCAGAGCTTGTTTCCATTTTACTGACCCTCATTTAAAGCCATTAGTTTAAAATAACCTGATTTTCAAGTGTGTGCCAATGAAGGGCTCACAAAGGTGAGGGGCAGAATGAAATCTTTCACAGATCTTTTCCTTAGGCCTAAGTCCTTTTCCCCCGCAGATGATGACATCAGTCCTCCTGACTTCCAGGCCAGTAGGTCTCTTACACATTATGTTATACCCCACAGGGTTCCAGAAATACTTCATTTAGATTGTTTTGATGCTCTTCAAAGAGGAGACAACTAACTAGAAATGGTATTCTGTAATGACCTCATTTTCCCGCTTTTGGTATCTCTCCACAAACTTAGTTTTACAGTTATGAAAATGACTTCAAGTTCATAAACTTTTAAACCCAAGATGACCAAAAAGACAAATACAGAAGCTGACTTAAAAAGTAGTCCTTCTGTCTGCATGAGATGAATTTTCTCTAAATTATATGGCAGGCAGTTAAGTTCCACTGTTAAGAGAGAATTTTGTTCATATTTGCTCAGAGCAGTTACATATTTCTAGGGTATTTGTAAGTACTAGTCATTTGTCTAGAATCTTCTCTCTCTTCTTCCCAAAGGAAAAAGAAAAAAAACCAAAACCTTAACTCACTCTTCAAACCAAAAAAATCCCATAGATTTACAGAAAAAAATAAACATTACTTCCTAAAGTTTTTGTAGAGAACAGAAACTTATTTCCTCTTAATTTCTTAAATTCAATGGAAAGTATTAAATATATTAAACTCATACTACCAGGAATTAAGTACAGTACACTTTTGGTTGCCACAAAAGTCCAACTGCAAAGCTCTGACATTGCCGCTCTAATAATGGAAAAATGTCTGTGACCTTTCGGGGTGGAAGAAATGTATAGGTAGACTGTTTTTGTTTAATCTAAAATATGGGGCTGCATACTTGCACACACCAAGCACACATGGGAGGTACATGTGTGCAGGAGGGCGGCTTCCACTCTGTACGCCCTTTGAACTGTTAATATGAACACACACTCCAGTCCAGTTGTGATTTTAAGAAGCTGAACAGAAGAGTCAGGCTTTATGTCACTGAAAATGTTTTGCACACTAAAAAGGGACACTATCATCAAATCTTTAATTCTAGCAAAAACGAACAGCGTTCTATTGACTCAGCATTAATATACATCATCTTGAGCTTTAACAGTGATTCTGGATGACTCTGGCCCAAAAACAGTCACACTCATTTTGTTTCCCCAGTTTTATCTATGTATTTCCCTATCTTGATAAAACCGTTGGTGGGGGAGATGTAATAATTTGGGAGGAAATGTCACAAGCCAGAATTACAGAGGTAAACATATGGATCAGAAACAAAAGATTTGTAAAATTTGCTTGGCAGCTGTTCGATAGCCACATTTCTACTTCTGAGGGTTCTCAACAATAACAGTAGCCTTTATTGAGCTTTACTGCTGTGACTCACAAAATCTTCATTACAATCCTACTAGGGAACAAAGAGACAACCTATCCTAGTGGCACAGAAAGAATCTGAATGCAGATTAGCTGCAGAGCACCAGTTTAACTTCCTTAAAGTATTAGGTTCATACAAATGATTATGTGCTTTCTTTGGCAGATGTCAAATCCAAATTCCCTATTGCTTTGCTTGGGGGGTGGGGTATAAATTGTGAACAAGTACTTTATTATATCTTACAGTACAGACATGCACCTGAGCAGTATGCTACGTTCTTGTATATATTCTGCTATATTATTGCAATATGCACAGAAAGCCAGGGTACATTTGGGCACACCTTCATTCTCCACACAGCTTGCAGGTGTTAGGAATCTCACCTTACGCTATCAAGATGCTTTAGATTTCAGCCCCATGTGCACACAAACACCAGAACGTGGGTTGAGTTGTTAACTTAATTCCTTCCTCATCTGAACTCTAAAGCAACATAGCTAAAACACAAAGGTGACATGAATTACAGACATACTTTAAAGACACTCTCGTGTGCTCTAGGGAGGCTACCACTGTGCTATTAACATATTTACTCTTTTGTTCACGACTGCTAGAGGTCTCCTGTATTTTAGCTGATTAATTAGGTGTTTGTCTGCACAGTCAGAGCTACACAGGGACGTGTGGAATGCCAGCAGGACTGGAAACGGATCAAAGCACAGTGTGGCACAACCCGAGGGCACTTTCTTCTTAGTCTCCAAGCCTGGGCGGGGGGCCACACAAATTACTCCAATGTCACAGCTGAACATTTTTGGCAAGAATGTGAAACAGGAACCCTAGTTTGGGAAGAAGGGAGCAAGCCTCGGAAGAAAACGCTTTTATGACCCTCTGTGTCATCTGTGACTGGGTGTACGTAAGAATTTTATTTTGACTTCAATGTCTGACATCAGGATTTTTAAAAGGACATGGAGGCAGACATCTTATTTGCTACCTAAGATTTTGCTTCAGTCCACATATCACTGTAATCCTGTTTACTCCATTTATTTGACTGTGGATGCTAAAAGAAAAACCCACACAGCAGCTGTCATGTTCATTTTTTTCTTCCATAATAAACTATGCCCCAGAGCAGAGATACTGAAAACTAGTTGTCATTCAGGGCGAAAGTGGAGACGTAGGAAGTTATAAAAAGAATCTATTTCAGTCTATTTTGATCATGCCCTTTCGGGCTTATAAAGGGAACACGGAAATGTTTTATGGATGGCTTAATGAAGTCTACACTGCACATTTTTACAAAAAATTAATTTGATGCACACAGACCCTTCTCCTGGTCACACTGGTTCATGAGAACTGGACTGTCAAGAATGATACCAGGGGTGTGGCCCCAGCCCCAGAACCCCATACACAGGGCGCCTGATACCCGGGTAGGGATTTCAGTGAGGCTAACAGGGAAACCACACATTGTAAACTCTCCCTGGGTAGTTTGTCAATGATCTGCTTCAATTTAAAGAAAAGCAGAAGTGAGCAGGAATCCCAAATAATAAGGGATAGGCAAAATGTATGCATGATAACAATAAGGGAAGGCATGGTAATAAGAGAAAGGCAAAGTGTATTCATCTACTAAAATGAGCAGTGGGAAAAGACCTGCTCCTCTCAGAGCTCTTGCCCGAGGGTCCCTTCTCTCCAACAGCGCCACCCATAACCGCTGCCACTCTCTGCTCCCTAGGTGGAGTTGCTGTGTTCACAGTACCTGCCTCCTCCTGGGCCTGGTTCAGGTCTGTTACCTCCCACCTGTGCCCCTGAATGGAATGTTAAGCCCCTCAGGAGCCCTGGCTTTGCTGCTAAACTACCCTCAGTGCAGATACCTGGGCTTGAGATGAAGGTGAACATTAGTCATTATTTGCAGTACTATGAACTGATGAAGTTCTTCCCTTTCATGGAAAGATGAACTATAAGCATTTTATACTGCTAATAATTGTGGGTACAAATAATACAGGATTTTCTTTAGGGAGTTTTATATAAAATGAGTAAGTTAGTAACTGGAAGACAATAAAGTATCACATAAAAACTAGCAGCTCCAGAAGATAATGTCTAGGCCTGCCAATACCAGTTTATTCTTCTTATGTTAGTCCTTAGCTAGAGACCAAAGAAACAACCAGATACTGAGAATGAGCTCAGTCCTTACAAATTTTGGATTCTCAGTTTTCATTCTACCCATTACAATCCTAAAGCTTTCTCTATAGTTCAAAAAATAGCTCAGACAGTTAAAAAAAAATCCTTAGCTCTTGGGAAGACATGCTTTTCTAAGAGAATGGATCCCTGGAAGTTCCAGGGTTGGAAACTTACTCTCTGCCCTCAAAATGAATTAATGTCAGTATCAGGCAGTAGGTTCATTATTGCAGGAGTCTCTGGCACTCTTGCTCTGTTTGCCCCTTTGATGCCCTCTGCCTTGTTAGGATGGAGCAGAAAAACCCTCCGTGGGTGCTGATGCCATGTTGGGCTTCCCAGCCTAAGAACCATAAGCTAAGTAAACCTCTATTCTCTAGAAATTTCCAAGTCTCTAGAATTCAGTTATAGCAACGGAAAATGGACAAAGGCTCTTCCTTATCCGCAGGTCCCCAAAGTGCCACCTACCTGCAATTTTACCCAGATTGGTTTTCTGGAAGTTCTTGAGCTCCTCGGTGCTTGCAGACTTCATGACAGAATTGATGGAGGTCAGGGTGCTAATGAGCTGTGAGTTGAGAGAGCCAATCTGTGAGTGAGGCTCCCCAAAAGCTTCTGCCAGTTCACTGTAGTTCTCAGCCAACAGCATTTGCTGCTCTGCCAGCAGCTTCTGGACACGTTCAATGTAGTGGTCCAAGCTGGTCACCATTCCAGATGGAGCCTGGGGCTGGGGGTCCTCCAGGAGCTCCCCTACAGGCTCGTCCCCAACACCCACGCTCCTCCTGCTACCTGTCAGCCCCACAGTCAACTGTGGGGGCCCACAAGCTATGGTCCTCATTTTGAGACCAACCAGATAGTTGTCATGAACATTTATCTGCCCCACGCCCAACTCTTTGGTCTTCACGGCAGATGGCTTGTCAAACCCAGAACTGCCAGAAAGCAGGGTCCCAACACCAACAGACCGCATCTTGGTGGAGGAGTTGACATCCTTGACACGGCCTTCTCCTATAGCCACCGTCCGCACCTCCACTGTCTGTGTGCTGGTCTGCTTGTCCGAAGTGCTTAAGGAAGTGCTGGTGCAGGAATCCACCAGTGTGGCTGTCTCAGTGTTAGTGGACTGGCTCGCCTGTTCCAAAACCGTGTTGGTGTGCTGGTTTGTGGTAAGAGGTGCTGCCATGATGGCCGCTTCTACCTGGCCAACGACCTCTGTGTTCACGCCGCGGGAGGCATACTCTTTGGGAGAGCAGACAGTCACATCGACAGAACAGTCTCCACAGCCAATGGAACGCACGTCTTTTAAATTCAAATTTGTCTTGAGGAGTGTCAGGTCGCTCACAGATGCCTCTGTGTTGCTGCCTGTTTCACAGACACTGACTTCCACACCCACACACTTGTCACAGGTCGCCACAGACCTCCCTGTACATCGGTCATGCGTCTCCACCCTCTCCTTAACAATCCACCTATTCATGGGCAGCTCGGGCCCTGCAGCTCGATTCTTGCACTCAGAACGGCAGGAGATGCCTACGCTACTCGTCTGTACAGAGGTCCCAACACAAGTGTCCACCAGGTCCACGTGGCTGCCAACCACCTGATCTCTTGTCGATACCACTGCTTCCACCAACTTGCTGAAGGCAAGTGGCTGGGCCGTCACGGCTTTGTCAACTTTCTTCCTCGATCCAGCGGCTTGCAGCTCCTGCTTCAATTTAGTCATCTCCCGGTCGTGGGTGGTTTCTTTAAGCTGTACTTCAAGGCGGTAGACTTTTTCCTTCAAGGCTTCTATGGTCTGCTGCTGCAGCTCGATTTCTTTGTCAGCTTCTGTTGTCACTCCAAGCATGGCCTCGGTCACGCCAATGCTGGAATCCCTCACCTCAGTGACTGTCCCTACAGCTGCGTCCTTGTAGGCTCTGGAACTCTGTTGGTACACAACAATGTCATTCATGTTCTCATTGCCACCTACTGCCACAGACCGGCACTCCTGAGGTGGGCACTGTCCGTTCTCCCTGAGCACCAAGGAGGCCTCACAGCTGCTGTCCTGGATCTTCTGCTCCAGGGCCTGCATGTCTGCGGTGAGCTGCCGGAACTCCCTTATCCTCTGTGTGCTCTGCTCCACGCTCTCCATCTCTTCCTCCTCGTAGTCAATGTACAGCTCCCCACCACTCCGCTGCCGTGCCCGGGAGAGCTGTGCCAGCTGGGAGGCGTTCCCTGCGCTGTAGGAGCGCTTCCTCACACCACAGGTGTCACTCTGCGATGCAGCCCTCTGCGTCTTTAGCTGTGAGGCCAGCTGCCGCTTCTCCTCTTGCAGGACAGAGATCTTCACTTGGAGCACAGGGATGGTTCTCACCTGCTCCTCGAGCTCCTTCAGACGTTTCAGGGCAATGGCCATCTGTTCGCGGATGTGCTGCAGGTGCATGGGGCTCACATTGGTCACTGGGGTGGAGATCCCTGAGCTCAGAGGGCTGTGGCGGATGGAGCTCCCCATGGAGGAAGTAGTGGCAGCCGCTGGGGCATAGCCGCCATAATCCCCATTGCCCTGGTATCCATTCTGAAGCTGGATGGCAGCGCTATAGTTTCCAGAACCCATAAAGGAGGGAAGAGAGCTCGTGGAGCCCATGCCTCCAAAACTGGCCAGCCTGGGCCTTCTGAATTCCCCCGGCATCATCTGCATGGTGACTCTCTCCTGTTCAAGTCTTCTCCGGGTCTCCATCAGGGTCTTGGTGACATGAAGGTTGTGCTTTGGGAACTGTGGGGACGGAGGGGGCAGCTGTCGATTTTCGGGGATGGGAAGAAAAGTAGGCGAGGTCTCCAGAGGGGCAGGGGGCCGTGGGACTGGAGTCGATGTAGCTTGGCCTCTGGCTAGGAGGAAGCCTGGGCACTGTTTGTTGTCATCACTGTTGGAGGAGGACAGGGACTCAGTGGAGGTCCACACACCTTGCTGACCCGCGGTGACTCTGGTTTCTGGGCATGGCACAGAGGGCTTCCGCCTCTTCTGGATGTTCAGTTTCTTGATAGTGTTTCCCTTCTGGATGTCGTCCACATATTTGAGGAAATCCAAGTCTAGCTGATAACCATAGGGGGTTTCCACAAAATAAGGGTCTTTCTGTCCCTTGTCATGGTCCCCGTTCAGAACATCATCTGCTTTTCCTAAGAGAGAGAAGAGAACATTACAGTGCTATGTATTACACGGTAAGGTAAAACCAAGAAGAGCTGACAGACCTCTGTTATTATCCTGGATCTACAACTTGGCTGGTGAACAAGTTAACACACTTTTCAGTTTTTCCACGAGTAAAATTTGGAATAAAAGTATCTAATTTACAAGGTTACGTTATAATGAGATGATATTCTTTTTTTTTCCCCACTAATTGAACCCAAGGTGTGGTGAGCAACAGCCCAAGGTCTTTTAAAAATTTTTTGATTTGAGAAAATGTCTAAATTGCTCAGGCTGGCCTTGAACTCATGATCCTCTGGTCTCACAACTGGGATTGCTGGGATTACAGGTATATAACACCAAACCGACAAAGGATAATGATCTTAAAGAGCCAAGCACATAGCAAGTCCTTACCAAATATTTTTGAAGAATCCATTAAGAAAAGGTTTAAAAGCACTGTCAAGTAGATTATTTGTCTATAGTCCCCTGAAGAAGGGAGAGCAGACACTGCAATTCCTATTTTACAAAGTTAACATTATCTGAGGAGCAAAGTCTGACAGCAGCAGACTAAGATTAGATCAGAGCAGACCCACGAGACTCAGACGACCCAGCCCCAGGTGCTCTGCAGTCTGGACAGGCTTTGTAACCACTGAGAAAAGCCACCCAGGGCTTGACCACTGCCACACGACCATGATTTGCCCTGAACCCTTCTTGCTAGAAAGCTGGTCCATGGGATATTGAGTGATCAGCTTGAGTGCAAAAATAGAGACGACTTCAACTCTACTCTGTCCTACACGTCTCAGTTTCTCTCCACACCTAAAAACAAAACAAAGCCCTCTCCCAACTGGAGAAATGTTTTCCTAATTCTTTTTATTATTTGACAAAAAAAAATCCACTACCTGCACAGTACTTTGTTTTACATGTATGATGAATCCAAACAGATTCTAAAGAGAATAAATAAGAGCAAAGCTATCCTCCAGCCCCGGGCTCATGTGGCATTCAGTAAATGCTACTTCTGGCTAAACCAAACATTTAAAAAAGGAAACACAGGCACTTTTCAAAGCGCAGATCTTGCTGCTGACCTGAGTTCTGCATTTCAAATTTAAAAGCAAGGCCATTTTTTGTTTGTTTACCATACATGAGTAAGTAATGCGTTTCCCTAAAGCCATATAAACAGGCTCTGCGTTGTCAGGGCCATGGACAGGACTCAAAGCAGCGAGTGAAAACGCCGGCTGTCTGTACAGTTTGTACCTCTGTCCCTGTCCCGCGCACAGCCTCCCCTTCCCCCAACCCACCTCACCCCACCGCTGTGAGGTCCAAGGACTTCCAGCAACTGTGAGCTGCCTGTCCGCAGCACTGCAGGACATTACAGTTGACAGTGCGAATTCTCTGCATGACCCCTTTCCCTCCACTGGTCTGTTCGGAAATGTTACGGGGAAAGTACAAAAAGATGGCTAAGCGGAGGATTTAAGAGGGTCCGCATCTCCCAGTCTAAATTTAGTATTAAACTATTCTAGCGCCCATTTCCACTCTAAAGCAGATGAGAAACGGGTTCTATTTGAAAGTTCCAGCCCGTGCCCGGGGAAGCGCATGCAGAGGCTTCTGCCTGGAAACTTGCGTTCCTGCGCCTCTGGTCTCTCTCCTTTCTAACCTTCATCTCGGCGAGAGGAAAGCTGGCATTCAAAATATGCAGCCGGACCTGTTTCCAGAGCTGTCTGAAATTCCTCAAGCAAAGCAGAGCCCGAAGATCCGGTGTCCGGCGACCCCGGCCCACGCCGCCCCGGCCTGGGGATCCAGCGGCCAGGAGCTCGCGCCCCGCACCGCCGACCCTGGCACCTACCTGCGGCGCCCCCCACGCGGCCCTGCCCGCTACAGCCGCCGGCCCGGCCCGCGAGGAAAAGGCTGCCGCCCCCGGCCGCTCCCCGGCCCCGCGCCAACGCCATAGGCCGGCTCTCACCAATGAAGTCCTCCGCCGCCGGCGACGCCGCCCCGCCGCGCTCGGCGGCTCAGCATTCCTTGTTTTCTTAATGAAAACAGGAAACCGGCATCTTTTGAAAATGTGTATTCTTCACTGCAGGTCTGCCAGGAGCACAAATAAAGCCCGCAATGTAAGCATCTCCACAGAGAGGCTCTGTCTTTCCTGCGGCAGCCCCTTCTCCATGAAAGAGGCAGTGTTCTGGGTGCAAACCTAGCAGCCTCTGCCCCGTCACCTGAGCGAGGCCAGGGCCACAATCGGCCACTGTTCTCCGCTTCCCGGAGCAGCCGGCAGGACCGCTCCGTTCCAGGGCGCCACCGGAATCCTCAGGAATCCTCAGCGCGTTCCGAACAAGGAAGACACCGTAACCCCTGAAGCCTGGTCTCAACAGCGCCCTGCCACTGGTGCAAGGGCTTTTGTTTTTGTTTTAAATTAATAAAACTTCTTCCAGTTACAAAAGTTGTCCATGCTTGCTAAAAAAAAAAAAAAAGCCGGGCGTGGTGGTGCACACTGCCTGTCATCCCAGCACTCTTAGAGGCTGAGTCAGGAGGATTACAAATTTGAACCCATTTTAGGCAGTTCAGTGACTTAGTGACAGCCAGGCTAAAATAAAAAGATGTCTGGGAATGTAGCTCGTTGCTAATACCATGGATTCAATCTCTAGTATTGGGGGGAAAAGAGACCATATAAAGAAGAAATAAATATATGGTCTGGATATCTCAAGTATTGCTATTTTGACATAACTCTTAGGTTGGTGTGTAGCGGGTACTGAGGATTGAACCTAGGGCATTTGAACTGAGCTGCAGCTGCAGGCATTTTTTGCTTTTATTTTGAGACAGGGACTTGTTAGGTTGCTCAATTGCTTAGGTTGGACTCAAACTTGCTAGCCTAACCTGTTTCAGCCTCCCAGAATGCTCAGATTACAGGTGGTATATGCCACCAGGCCAGCTTGACTTTTTTTTTTTTTAACATGGTTACCTCACCCACACTCCCAGCATTTTCAATAGGAAAGGTCAGCATTTAGAACACAAGATATAGCACACTTTTCAGCAAAACTTAATTGGACCATCTTTAGTAGAAATCACCAAAGGCCTCAGTCAGGTGAAATGACCCTCAAGTGAACTTTAGACTTTAATCTCTGGGAATCAGGAGAGGTTAGAATTTAACTATGTTAGGTTTCATTATTTCCCAGTCCCGCTTAACCTAGGCTCCCCAAAACTTCTCATCTATGATTCAGTCTCCAGCAACTACAAAAGTGAGACATGTTCTTAAAGTTTCATTTATACAAACACCTGTCCTTGGTACAAATAATTCTACAATTAAACAAGAATATCCACTGTTGTCATTTTTAGCTTTTGTGTTCTAGTGTATCTTTACATATGTCAATACAAATACGGCATTTATGAGCTGTGACATATTTCCTAACTTTTCCATCTACGTGTGTCTCGTCTCATCTTGGAATGGAAGCCTCCTGAGACCAACAAATTCATTCCTAAAAATTTCCTTCATTGCTCGCCCCTCCCAGTCACACACAAATTAACAAGATGCTGGGAACAAAGAAGATATTTTAAAGTATTCACCAAAGTAATAAGTATCTGAATATAGAATAGACCATCATAAACTCACAAAATCATGAATGATCTGAAGATAGTTATTATTAAATATTAACATTATGGACATCTCTCGCATGTGCTATTTCAGTAGGTATTTTTAAAGTGGGGAATTATGGGCAGTTTTTATTTTATTCTTTATATTTTATAAATTTTCACATCACATAGGCATTTATCTGTTAAAACTATTAGAAGAAGTCTCTGTTAGTAAAATGAAAAGAATGTAAGAAATGAACCAAGAAAGTTCAAATGGGAGGGGCACGAATGTGGGAAGCCATAGCAAACAGAGCTACACAGTCCTCAGTACGCATTACCCGGCCTTCCACACGAATAGAAGTGCCTGTTTTCTAGATGGATAAGTATGAACTACAAATTCCCCCCACCATCCCTCCTGTTAGAATGGCCATAAGCAGAAGTGTCATATAGCAATTCCCAGGGATTTCCCTTTGAAGACACAGGAATGCATCTTTGATCTTTCTTCTTGTTTTTCCTCTATCCTGCTACCTACAATGCAGATGTAACACTGGACATTAACTGCTACTCTGGGCCGTTAAGTCCACACCTAGGAACGGAGGAACATGTACAACAAGGAACCTGGGTCCCAAAGGCTTTGTGAAGCAGAACAATTATAAAACTCCTGAAGGGTCTAACTCTATACTTGTCTCATTCATTTTTTGCACTACTGAGACACAATACCCAACAACCACGACTTAAAGGAGGAGAGGTTTATTTTGGGTCATATTCTAGTCCATAGTTGGCTGGCTCCAAAACAGAATGGCACGGCAGCAGGGCACAGTGGAAAAGAGCTGCTCATGGCATGGACAGGAAGCAGAAAGCAAAGGAAGAAACTAGGGAGGGGGACAAAGGCCTCCAGGCCATGCCCTCAGACACCTGCCTCTTCCCACAAGACCCCACCTCCTAACAGCAAGCCAGCTGTAAGCCCCCATAATCCATTCACCTTCCAAAAGCCCCACCTATGAGTACTTGAGGTTTTTGGGGGACATCTGGGTATAAACTGTAACATTTTGCCTCTGACTCCCAAAAGACTCCTGCACATCTCTTTATGCAAAATGCATTTAGTCCATCTGTAAGAGTTATCAAAGACCTAAGAATTTCAGCATTGCTGAAATGTCCAAGTTCAAGTATCCTCTGGCTTTTAAGACAAACTCTTAGCCGTAGATTTTTGTAAATATCAAAGAAGTTAAGCACTGCCAACATGTAATGGCACAGGGTAAACATTCCCACTTCTAAACAAAGAACTAGGGAGGATAGAAAGGAATGGAACCAAAGCAAGACATTAAATCTTGTAGCTCTCTGTCCAGCACCCAGAACAAGCTGTGGTGAGATGCAAACTCCAAAAGTCTCAAGTGGCCCTCCATACTGGATTGCTGGTGCTTGTAGCTCTTGTGGCCTCACTCTTCATCTGGCTTTGCTGACTTCTTGTGGTTTACCAAAGACTTTCACTTTCCTGGCTTCTACAGCTTTGTGAGGTCTCCACTGCCATCTCTGGGTTAAGTCTCATAGCTTCACTTACTACCATCTTAAGGCCTCCTTGCCTATCCACCCAGGCCTTCTTCTTAAATCTGGGTGGAAGCCTTCCTTACCCCAAAACTCTTACATTCTACATGCCCATAAAATCAGCACCACATGGATGATGCCAAGGTCTGCTGCCAGCTTGAGAAGTAGCTGGGCCCTCTTTCATCATGGATATAGAGGCCTCTGAGTGCCTGGATGTCTGAGCATTGTGAATAGAATCCAGAGGAAGGAATTCCCATTCTTCAGCATGGTGCCCTGAGGCTTTCTCTGAAGCAAAGTCTTTCATTTTTGCAATTCTGAGCCTGTAAGAGCTGGGACCTTGCTGATTCCTCACATCCCCTTAAGGTGGATGCCCTTAAGCTGTTTTTCCTATTGTCCAGATCCAAAATACTTAATTTGTTTTTAATGTTCATCTTTTCTGCAATCAAGCTCTCCTCTGCTCTACTTTATAGGCAGTTTCTCTCAGGGAAACTGAAAACTTTAAAAGTCACTCAGCAGTACCATTTATGTATGATTTTCAATGTATAGCTGGCTAAAAGCCCCCAACAGTACCTATATCACTGTCAGAACACTGGTCTGCCTTGAAATCTCCTCTGTCAGAAGAGTCCAGTGCCCTTAATCTCAGTCTCCTGCAATTTTAGGACATGAGCAAAATGTAGATAAATTTTCTGCCAGTGGGTAACACAAATAGTCTTGAGCTTAAGTGTCAACAGAGTCCCTATTCCCTATTGGAACTTCTTTAGCCTTTTTTTTTTCTGTCCGCTTTTATATCTGCATTCTGGTCTTCTGAGCTCTGACCAGAATCTCCCAGCAAGCTTGGCTTTCAGCATTCTAGGACTGCTTCTCCAGCTGGTACCACCAAACCATCCCAAACTCTTCCCCCGAACCAGTTCCAAGAGTGTTCAAATCAGATGGTCAAGTGTAGTCACAGGAATGACCCCACTTCTCTGCTACCAAAATCTCTCAGTCACTTTCCTCATTGCTGGGACACAATACCTGGGACACCCACAATTTAAAGGAGAGGTTTATTTTGGCTCACATTTCAGTGTATAGTCAGCTGGCTCGAAGGCTGGACAGCAAGGCACTGATATTCCTGTCATGGCAGCCCGGAAGCAGAGAAGGAAGGGAGGAGCTGGGGAGGCAGAGAAACCCTTCTAGGCCACACCCCTTAACACCTGCTTCTTCTTACTGGAGTCCACCTCCTAAAAGCAAGTCAACTATAAAACCCCACAATCCAATCACCTTCCAAAATCCAACCACCTCCCACCTATGAGCAACTGAAGCCCTTGTGGAATGTCTACATATAAACCACAATAACAGTTTTATGTGAAAGAGAAGTAAAATTCTGTTTTGTTTGTTGTTATGGCTTGTGTCTAGATTTCCCCCCAAAGTCTCATGTGATCATAGCTGGGGCTTTTACAGAGGTAGATGGACTTAGAGTGTGTGAAGCTGGAATTGATTGATGGTACAATGCTAGGATCAAGGGCACTAGGATTAAGAGTATGAGTGGTACCCACCCTAAGTAGCCTGGATAAGATATAAGGGATAGATAGACCTGTGGTGGTCTCTTGTTGCTTTGCTGCCTTCTGCCTACCATGCCACCCTGTCTTGCAGCCAGCCAATTATGGACTGAAACCTTTACAAACTGTGAGCTACATCAATCTTCCTTTAACCTTGGGTGTTGTATAATTTGTCTCAGCAACAAGAGAAAAGTAACTAAGACATTTGGTTATTATTTGCTTTGGGTCTTGATTACATGAAGCTAAATAATTTTAATAGACACAGCAATTTTCCCCTCATTTCCTACAA